AAAGGGCTGTGGGAGGCGGCGGAGGATCCAGGACCGCGGGGAGCCGCGAGCGGGGCGTGGGCGACCGCCCTGCGCCACCCGGGAAGCCTTAGCCGGGGAGGCGATCGATCTCCTTCCTCTCCTCCGCTCCTACGGTCCTTGGTGAACCGCCGTGGGCGAAAAGGGTCCGAGTTTTCTTTTTTGGTACCGGGGATCGAACTCTGGTCCTTGTGCTTGCAAAGCAGGCGGTGGAACCACTGAGCTAAATCTCCGGCCCTTCGTTTCTTATTTTTACTTTTTTGGGGGCGTCTCTGGGGATGGAACCCAGGGCGCCAAGCATGTTAAGCCCACGCTGTCAGCCTGAGCCGCACCCAGCCCACGTTGTTGTTTGTTTTGTTTTGCTAGTGGAGTCTCAGCCAGGGAGGGCCTCCACACGCGCGCATCTAAGTCCGTGATTGCAGTGATGGATTTCTCAGCCGTTGTTCTGAATGACTTTTTCCTATGAAATCTAGCATATTTTTTCCTGAAGCCATTGGGGGTCGAGAATGAAAAATAAATTTAACATGTTTTGCCTGATTAAAGGGTTATTTTAATCATAAATTAATATTAATATTGAGATAATGTTTTTTCATCGAGGTTGTTGATTGTAGCATCAGAACAGTACAAGGCTCTCCAGAGCGCGTAATCTTCCATAATTACATAATTACTGGGAGCAGGAAGCCTCAGCTTCAGCTTGAGACTGATAGGTGTATGAATGTGTTCTGCATTAGTGCCTGAAAGGTTGGTTCTATGCAGAACTTGAGCCAGGCGTGGAGGCTGAGGCAGAAGGATCACTGAGAGTTCTAGGCCAGCCTGAGCTACAGGGCAGCCTGAACCACACAGCGAGACCCTGTCTCAAGAAACAAAACAAAACAAATCCAAACAAAATAATTCAAGGCCAGGGATTTAGCGCAGTGGTGTTGTTGCCTGCCTCGCAAGTGCAAGGTCCCAAGTTCGATACCCGGTACAAAAAAAAAAAAAAAAAAAAAACAAAATACCCGGAAAAAAAAAAAAAAAAAAAAAAAAAATCAGAGCCGAGCATGGTGGTGTCGCCTGTCATCCCAGTACTCAGGAGGCTGAGGCAGGAGGATCGCTGCGAGTTTGAGGCCAGCAAGACCCTGTCTAAAAACCGAACAAAACTAAACAAAAAGTGTAAGGCTTTATACTGAACCCGGTAGAGGCCCCAAGTGTAGATGGCCTCCCAAGGAGGCAGTTCACAAATTGAGGGAGATGGCAATAGGGGCTGGGCTCTGGAAGATAATTTAATAGGGGAGACCCTGGCAGGGCGGGAAGATGGTTGTGAGGAATACGGGAAGCAGCGCCCCATTTCCAAATGAGAATGCTGAGCCCCACCAGGTCGATGCCTGAAATCCGAGGCCGAGTCCGGAGGCGAAGCCAGCCCCCTCCTGCTCCCCAGCTCCCCGGGGGCCCTCTGAGGAGGAGCTTCTGGGTCTTGGTCTCGGCCAGGTGCAGGAGGGGTCTCACCCCAGGTTCCCTCCCCAAGATGCCGCCAGCCCCGAGGCTGCCCTCCCCCTGTGTCATGGCTCCTCCATAAATAGCCTGGGTTCTGGTGGCCTGACGCGCACTGCACTGCCTGACCTGTCCCCTCCCGCAGGCGGTCCTCGGGGTGCAGCTGGTGGTGACGCTGTTCACGGCCACCCTCATGCACAGACTGGCTCCGCACTGCTCCTTCGCTCGCTGGCTGCTCTGCAACGGCAGGTGAGCCCCGCCCTCCTAACAAGGAGAGACCCGCCCACAGAGGGAGGAGCCTGGAGAGTCCCGCCTATGAGTGAGGCCTACAGAGGAAGGAGCCTGGAGAGTCCCGCCTATGAGTGAGGCCTACAGAGGGAGGAGCCTGGAGAGTCCCGCCCGTGACTGAGGCGCACAGTGGGAGGAGCCAGAAAAGCCATGCCTCTCGGTTTCCCAGAGCCCCACCCACCTACCCCAAAACTAGGGCCTTTTTTTTGGAGACAGGGTCTCGCTATGCAGTTCAATCTGGTCTTGAACGCACCGTGGAACTCAGGCTGGCCTCCAACTTGCGGTGATCTTCCTGCCTCAGCCTCAAGAGTGCTGGGATTACAGGCGTGCGCCCCCACACCCAGCCGAACTAGGGCTGTTTTTGAAGTTTGGTACACTGAATCTTTGAAGGGCACGACCCCAGGAGAAGCCATCGCCACCTGCTTGTCCCTCTGTCCCCGCTCTTCCGGCCTCCTTGAGCCCCGGCTTTCTCATTTTGTCCCTTTCTGGGGAATCTGATGGAAGCTGAATTCTCTCAAAGATGCAGGGGTGTCCAGGACCCCTGAGAGCACTGGGTGTGGATCCCCAATTTCCCCTCCCTGCGCCAGCCCCAGCCACCCCCGGGCCTCTGGGGGGTGGTCTCACCAGCTCTCCGGCTGCAGCGGGAGAGTTTGGGGTCCCTCCCCCGCCGGCACCGTCCTGAACCCCCCTCCCGTCCTTGCCGTCAGTCTTTTCCGCTACAAGCACCCATCCGAGGAGGAGCTTCGGGCGCTGGCGGGGAAGCAGAGTCCCCGAGGCCGGCGGGAGCGGTGAGTGACCCTAATGGGACCGGGCCTTTCCTCGCCTGAGGTACAAGGGAACCTGCACTGCAGCCACAGGCTCTGGGCCCTCCGGAGCAAGGAGCCAGTGTGGCGGAGTAAAGGTCCTTCCTAGGTGGCTCCCCACTCCCGCCCCCTTTTCGTCCCCATGCCCCCAGGTGGGCCAACGGCCTCGGTGAGGAGAAGCCACTGCTGGTACCCCGGGCTGCGCCATTCCAGCTGGAGACCTGTCCCCTCACCCCTGTGGATGCCCTAGGTAACCCCATTCCTGGCCTCAAACACCCCTCCCTGGGCCCATGGTCACCACTCCAGGGGGGCGCGGGGCAGGGACACCCGGAGGGGACAGCAGGTAGGCTGAGCACGCACTCCCGCAGTCCTGCGCTTCTTCCTGGAGTACCAGTGGTTCGTGGACTTCGCAGCGTACGCGGCTGGCGTGTACCTCTTCACTGAGGCCTACTTCTACCTGCTGGGCCCGCGGGAGGCCAACATTGCTGTGTTCTGGTGCCTGCTCACCGTAGCCTTCTCCATGTATCCTGCATCCTGTTCCCTGGGGTGGGCAGGGGGTCCTAGCACAGAACGATGCCACAGCCCTTTGCTATTTTTTATGTAGAGCTAGGGTCTTCCTAAGTTATCCAAACTAGGCTTGAACATGAAATCCTCCTGCCTCAGCCTCCTCGCAGAAGAGAGCTGGGATGACGGGTGTGCGCCACCACCAGACCTGGGTCTTTTTTTCTTCTTTATTTTCATTTTGGTGTTTGAGTTGCTAGTGATGGAGCCCAGGGCCTCCCGCATGCCAGGCAAGCGCCCTGCCACTGCACTACACCCTAGCCACACAGTGGCAGTGACGAACTGGGCCCAGGACCCTGGCGACCTCCCCATGAGCAAACACCCGAGCTCACACTCTGTCTGGGGCCCCAGACCCAAACTCCAGGCCACCCCAAAGCAGCTGCAGTCTCTGTGCCCTGGGCTCACGAGGGACGGCAGCTTACTCCTTAGCTGAGCCAGCAAGACGTTCGTGACGGTGACCCGACCGCACTTCAGCCTGCAGGGTGGCGAGCGTGCCGTGTGCCTTACCTTCGCCTTCGTCGTCCTCCTTCTGGCCATGCTTGTGCAGGCGGTGGGCGAGGACGCACTGGAGCTGGGCCTAGAGCCAGGTGTGCTGGCTCAGCCCGTCCCTCAGGACACAGACCGGGGCGCTGCCTGGCGGCCCCTTCGTGCAGCTGGGGCCCAAGCAGCGTCCACAGGAGCCCCGAAGGCTCATGCGCCTGCTCCCCACGGAGCACTCTCCACACCCAGAGGGCTTCACACAGGCCCTTCCCCTCTGCCCCAGCTTTGAGGCCCTCTTGTTCAAAATCCACACTGCCAGCCCTTATACTTTATATTTTAGGGCTTTTGGGGGTTTTTTTGGTTTTTGAGATAGGGTCTCTCTATGTGGCCCAGCCTGGTCTTGAGCTCATCAGGTAATTCTCCTGCCTCAGCCTCCTGAGTGCTGGGATTATAGGCTGTGCCACCACGCCTGGCTATATTCGGTTTCTTGAAAAGAGCCCTGCGTGATGGGCACAGTGGTCTCTGCAGGGCTGGGTGTGCTCGGTGGTGAGCGTTTGCTTGGTGTGCATGAGGCCCTGGCTTCCGTGTCCAGCCCCGAGCTGTCCAAGCTGCATCGGCCTGGCTACCACTGTGGTACCTACCCTGTGCAGGACACAGGGAGGGTATGGAGACAGCTTGGGGACCCGACTGACTCTCTTCTGTTCCTCCTCCCTGCCCAGGCCTGGCCAGCATGACTGAGAACCTGGAGCCGCTCCTGAAGCCCCAGGGCTGGGGCTGGGCGTGAGTCCTGGGTAGGGGGCGGGGCTGGCGGGGCCTCCCTGGGTGCCCTGGTCTGGTCTCACTCCGACCCGTTCTGTCCCCAGGCTCCCCGTAGCCACACTGGCCATCCGCGTGGGGCTGGCAATGGTGGGCTCCGCGCTGGGCGCCTTCCTCACCTTCCCCGGCTTGAGGCTGG